GGACCAACTGCTTTTATTGGGAATCCTGGACTCTGTGGGCCCCCTTTGAAGAACCCTTGCTCTTCGGAAACTAATGGTGCAAATTCACCATCCTCATTTCCCTTTATCCCGGATAACTCTCCGCCTCAGGATTCCGATTTTGGAAAGAGCAAGAAGTCCAAAGGGTTGAGTAAGAGTGCTGTGATTGCAATAGTGGTGAGTGACATTATCGGTATCTGTCTTCTTGGTCTGCTTTTCTCGTATTGTTACTCAAGGATTTGCGCTTGCAGAGGTCGAAAGGGTGAAAACGGTCACGGGTTTGAGAAGGGAGGGAAGGGAAGGAATGAGTGTTTGTGCTTCAGGAAAGATGAATCCGAGGCATTATCGGAGAATGTTGAGCAGTATGATCTCGTGCCGTTGGATGCTCAGGTGGCTTTTGATCTCGATGAGCTTCTCAAGGCGTCGGCTTTTGTGCTCGGGAAAAGTGGAATTGGGATTGTTTACAAAGTTGTGCTTGAAGATGGACTGACTTTGGCTGTGAGAAGATTAGGGGAAGGAGGGTCTCAAAGGTTTAAGGAGTTTCAGACTGAAGTGGAAGCCATTGGAAAGCTAAGGCATCCTAATATTGTAACTTTGAGAGCTTATTACTGGTCTGTTGATGAGAAGCTGCTCATATATGATTACATACCTAATGGAAACCTTTCCACCGCAGTTCATGGTAAGTCTCAGGCATATATATCCAATTTGTCTTCATTTTAGCCTGTGTTTTTATCTATATTGGCTTGCAATTTTGCTTTCGGATTTTGATTCTGGGTCTTATGTGTTTGATTACTTGACTATTTCCATTATTTTCAATTGGCATCAGGTAAGCCTGGAATGGTTTCATTCACTCCGCTATCGTGGTCTGTCCGGTTAAAAATTATGAAAGGAATTGCAAGAGGTTTGGTCATTACTTGACTATTTCCATTATTTTCAATTGGCATCAGGTAAGCCTGGAATGGTTTCATTCACTCCACTTTCGTGGTCTGTCCGGTTAAAAATTATGAAAGGAATTGCAAGAGGTTTGGTCTATCTCCATGAGTTCAGCCCCAAAAAATATGTCCATGGTGATCTCAAGCCTAATAACATACTTCTTGGACAAAATATGGAACCCCACATTTCTGATTTTGGACTCGGACGCCTTGCTAATATTGCGGGAGCATCTCCAACCTTGCAATCTAGTCGAATGGCTTCAGAGAAGCCCCAAGAAAGGCAACAAAAGAGCACGACTTCTGATACTACTACAGTTGCTTCGTCTACTACATTGGGATCGTGTTATATCGCACCAGAAGCGCTGAAAGTGGTGAAGCCATCGCAGAAGTGGGATGTTTATTCATACGGGGTGATCCTACTAGAAATAATCACCGGTAGAATGCCTGTAGTCCTGGTAGGTTCCTCAGAGATGGACCTTGTTCATTGGATTCAACTCTGCATTGAAGAGAAGAAGCCTCTATCGGAAGTTTTAGACCCGTATCTAGTGCAAGATGGCGATAGGGACGACGAGATTATTGCGGTCATTAAGATTGCAATGGCTTGCATTCAAACTAGCCCTGAAAAAAGACCAACAATGAGGCATGTCAGTGAGGCTTTGGAGAGGTTGGCAATATCTGATGTTTGAGAAAATCCCAGAAGAGCTAGTGAATCCTTCATGTTTAGCCTTAGTTTGAGTCTCAAAGTGATCACATGACCACTTATGCAAATGTCTTCTTTGTTTGACATTAGATTTTCATGACTCCAAATTCCAAATTCAATGTAAAATTCTCTGCTTTGTCACTCTATTAGATTTTCGGCTGGCTAGAGTTAGGTCTGCAAGAAGAGCATGCTTTCAACTTTGAAGTGGTATTTTAACTTGGTTTTCATGAGTTTGTATTTGGTATATACACGTGTGTAAGGATTTATTTCTTTCACTTGCTCTTGTTGCAGACCTTTTGTATTTTTTTTTGTAGGTCAATGAAGTTTATTATTTGTTTTCCTTTTTTGGCCTGGAATTTCATTATTGGTGATTAATTATTACCACTGCCGAATTTTTACCTCTTATAGAATCATGACCTGCTACTGACAATTTATTACACAAAAACAAAATCAAATATTACACTTCTATTTGCCAAAGAAAAAAAACCTTAAAATGAATTGTGAAAATAAACCATGAATAATATCAGTGACATTAATCCAATAGTTCTTGTTATTTGTAGTTACGGGGACCATTCTGGTGAGCTCAACATTCTTATATCAGTTGTTTTTTTCTTTACATAATTTCGTAATTAATGAATAAAGTGAAGGTTTAGTTGAGAAGCTAATCTATGACGTACTAAATTATCCCATACATGTAATTTTGTACCCCTTTAATGTGGACATTAATGTCTGCTTGGTAAGTGAAAAAACCCCACCATTATCTTAAATGTGGACATTTAAGGAGAATTTTTCAAAATTAAAAGTTTAATAAATTGAAGTTTAATAAACTACTGATAGTTTTTTTTAGCTATTAAATATGCATCACAAATTGTCTTTTCTATATTCTTTTTAATCGATGTGATTTTAACTAATCCAACAGTTAGAATTGACCACACCAGTAGAGAGGCCCTATCAAATAAAGGGCTTGTTCGAGAGAGTTTTCTAAAAGTTACTTTTGGCTTCTTAGGTCCAAAGTTGCGTTTAGAAGTGTTTGCATAATCTATTAGAAATGCTTTGTCTTTTTAAAAGAACTCCAATCAAATTCAAAAATTGTAACTTCTAAAAAAACCATTTATGAATAGACTTTAAACTTGTACCAAAATTTAATTAAGGCAATATAAACTTAATTCCAACACTTTTCTTGCTTAATAGAAAATTTAAAGATTATTTTGACCCATTAAGGGCCCGTTTAGTTCGTTGATTCGAGTTTTAATTCGAGTTGAGATGTGATTTTATGTGAGAGCTTTGTACTGTAGCAAAACTCGAATTCTAAACTCAAATCAGCGAAATGAACGGAGCCTTAACTTTTTATTTTAAATACTTACTGAAAAGCCATAATTTTTTCTTCTCTTCTTCTATTGGCTAAAAATAAAAATAAAAATCCTGCCAAACGGGCCCAAATTCCATAATAAATTACTTATTAATGTGAAATGTTGCAAATAGCCTATGAATTTGGAGCCGTATACATAATTCTTTTGAGTCCTTTTGTTACAAAATAGTACGACTGGTACATTGGATTTTATACGAATGAAAAATCAGTCTTACCAAACGATGTTGCGTGAATGTAGGAGCTAATGGAGGAAGTGGATTCCAACAAACTATTATATGGAATTTTACCCACCAAGTCAATCTGCAAAAGAGATTCTCAGCTGTCTCCTCAGTTTAATTTGTAATTAACTAATTAAGTAATTAATTAAGCTGCCCATAATTTGACTCTGACAGAGCTTCTTGTCGCTTCTATTTGGCCAATGAATTCCGACACTATAGTTTGCTTTTAGTTGTCTGATCAGTTGCAATAAAGGGAAAAAGTGCTATAATTTCATCTTCTAATTCAGGCTTTGAAAATCCTACACATTGGCTGATTTGTTTTGACTCGGTTTCGGGTGCCACATGAGTGGTCTAGGCCATTTAGAATCCTGGAATAATTTTTATAGAAAATATACAAAAGAATGTTTGTCCTCCATATGATTAGCAATAATTTTTTTTTTTTTTTTTTTTGGTTTTGAAGTCTCTATGTGCTCACATGGGCTCAAAGAAGATTGGGTAATGTTTTTTCAACGACCAGCTTGATGTTTACCTTATTTTTAAGGCAGCAAAGCACATGATATTAACTATAGAATGATTGACACATTTGTAAAAGCATCTCAGGGTTTACCTGCTAGTAACATGCATTTTTTGAAGGTTACTTGACATCCAAATCGAATCTTACCCAAGTTTAAACCAAAAAAAAAAAAAAAAATTCTAACTGTTTAGAATCGTTCATTGTTAAATCAACTTGTAACAATACATTTGGGGTCAAATGTGTTAATTTTGTTGTTCTAACAGAAATTCAATGGTGTGCTTGTGAGAAGGGTTACCTAATGGTTATAATGCAATGATTTGACAATGCATGTCTTAATTGTAATGGTTATGGTCCCATTACAGCCACCAGTAGTACTACAGTCTGATATATTCTACCATATCGTTTCAATGTCCATTTGCATGACAACAAAAATGACTCACGTCATTGCCAGATATTGAAGAATTGAGAACGCTGGTAGTTTGAGATACTTAGGCACCAATAATGTGCAATAGTAATTTATTACCACTCAAAAAAAAAAAAAATGGCGGTCTTCATAAATTCTTACCATACACACATAAGAAGATGTTGAAGTAGAAGTCAATCCATGACAATTCTTCATGTCTTTTTCATTCACCGTAAAGATGGGCATCAGAGTATACATACTTGCATAAAACACTTTAATGCTCAAATTAGACAAGTACAGTAAAGAAAAGTTTGTTTTAGTAAGGGTATAAAGAATGAGAATATGTTTTCTCAAAAACAAAAACAAAAACAAAAAAACAAAAGAATATGATTCAATGACTCATTTATAGAAAAGGTGGCCCATCATCGGGTTCCACTCTAATTGGTACACTTCATCAGTTAGTTATGAACGAGAATGTTCAGTGGAACGACACTTGTCAATTGTCATCATTTTGATTTGGGACTTTGAGATCAAGCCTTGAGTTTTCAAGCTCAACCTCGAGCATATAGTTTTGACGCCTTAACATGTTCAATGGCATTCTCAATCCTCCAATTGAGTTGTTTGAGATCAAACCTCGATGTGTACATGCTAGGAGTAAAATCAGCACAACGATCATCACTGTACACATGGACAATTTTTTATGAAGAATGTCAATTGGAGGAATCAACTAATTAAAGAGTGACTCGAGAAGTAGTATCGACTCAAGAAGTAGTGTCAACTAGAGAGATGAATCGACTGGAGATCAGTGAGGACCACCATGGATGAATTGGAAAAGCAACATACTTGAAGACCAAATAAACCAAATCAGGCAATAAGAACCAAAATCGGATTAAACTTGGAGAGCAAGTTTCCCTGAATCAAATGAGGAAACAAGAAAAGAGGAAAGTCAACCGAAACCATATAAGAAAATAACATTTTCCTCCAATCAATATCAAATCCACTCAAGAAGTGGGTAACAAATGAGACTCAAACCATCTCCTATAAATATGAGATTACTACACGAATTAGGTGGATCACATTCTGCATATTTACTCCCTCTCTTTATAGATTCTCTCTTTAAATCCACTTCGCATCTCTTTCTCTTCCTTTCTTTTTCACCATTGTAATTATACTTTTGAAAGCTTATAATGAAATTCCGAGATGCTACAGTGAATGTAGCCTTCATGTTGAAGGTGAATCCCTATAAATCCATATGTTCTTTTATTTTTCTACATTTTACTTTCTCGTTATAACATCCGATCGACTCGAGATTAAATAGACCCACCAATCCCAACCGACACCCAGAAGCAACATTGGTCCTCTACAAATTTAATTATAAAATCCGACTTCTACAGTACATATGTCAGTATAGCATCAAAGGTAACCTTTGATTTTCAATGATGTCAAAGTCTATATCAAGGTCTAAACTCGAGAAAAATATTATTAATATCGAAGAGAACACATGTCACGTGATTCAATCCTTGAAAAAAATTCCATAATAAAGAGAACTTGTATGCTATTAGAAATTAGAGCAACAATTCAAGTTTAAATTGAGGGTTTTTCTTTAACACTGTTTTGGATGGTGCTGGCTGATCAACCTTTTATGGGATAGTCATTACACTGCAAATTAAATAGCAGGAACATGATATTATTTTTCCCAATGAGGCATGTCAGCATAGAATGTGATTCAGTTTCATTGAACAAATTTACGACATTAATTAGCCGTGTAATAGTGGACCCACATAATGGATCAATAGTTAATTGCGAATTCCGATGTCCATCATTTAATTTATCATACATAACATCCAATTATGGTGTTTCCAAGCTTCAACTTCGTATGAACTTTTATTTCTTAGTTATAATGTTGTTGAAATAACCACGCCCAATAAAAACAGCTGACATGCTGTGGAAAGCGAGGGAAAACCTGAAGGTTTGTTCAGTTATATTTTTAAATTATGATGATTTAAATATAGATTTTAAGTTAAATTTAAGTTATAACTTGAGTTTGTGTTTGGTTGTGTATATTTGAGTTATGGTTTGAGATAAAAATCTTTTTGAGTTTGTGTTATAGTGGGTCAAAACTTGAGTTTATATATAGATAGTATTTTAATAAAAACTCAATGATGATGGAAAATTTTAATAGGGTCCATGGGTGGAGTTTTATTCGTCTATTCGTTGTGAAAGCATAAAAAAATCATCTCAATCGGAATTAAAACGAAAAAGTTATAGCGTTTTTAAGAATAAAAAAATATTATTCATTAATTTGAATTTGAGTTTAAGAACTTGAGTTAAAGGAGAAACTTAAACTCATATTTTAATCTCAAACTCAAGTTAAAATTTAAGTTTAAACTCAAATTTTACAAAAGAATATGAACTTAAATAAAGTTGTCATTTGAATTTAATTTTTTTTTGAGTTTAGGTGCAAATGAACAAGTTTTTTTTTTTTTTTTTTCCAATGGTAAAGAAAGCGAGGGCAAACTTGTAGTTTTAAAATTGTGACAAAAATTTCTCACGTAAAAATAATAAAAAGAAATTGAGACAATAATTTAATTTACTGATTTGTGGACATGGAAAAAGCCACTTTCGGAAGTATCACGCAAGAGAAAATCGTCTATAGCACCTGAAGACGTTTGGTATTTTTTTTAAAGTTGTATGTAACATTTTCTGTTAATTTTTTTCTTTCCAGATATTGGAGCCATTATTGAGAATCCGAGGGATCCAACGAACCCAGGAATGTTTATTCCTCTGATGCTGTTAACTGTTAAGGCATTATGAGAAAGAACCTGTCAACTTGCATGCCTAATAATTGACATGTTTATCTGCTGATTATTTCTTAATTTTTAAAATTACTACTTTTATAGTATTCATTTAGTAACAAGAACATCTACTATTTTTTTTGTCTTTGTTCGGATTGTGGGGCCCAAATAGTAATGAATTGTTCACATAACTATTTCAGTAAAAATGAGATAATAAAAACTACATGAAAAAATATATTGAGCATGGGCAATTACAAGGACAATGCACCCAACTTCTCAAAAGTTGAAAAGTGATGCCCATTGAAATTCAAATGTCAATTTCTTCAAAAGCTGTCATATTAAGTTCTAGTAGTTCAAGTTCAAGTCAGAGATGCTCCAATAATTATGAAGAATAACAGGAAAGAAAAAAAAAAAAAAAAGAGGAGAATAAAATTATTAGGAAAGAAGAGCTGATCCACTAGTACTCTTTCTTGCAATCCTAAGCCGTTTCACACATTCCACAAATTCCCTGTGCACATACCAAAGAAAAGTCCTTGATCAATATGGCTTGATTTTTCACATAATAGGAAACCCACTTTAGTACTTTACCAATATTTAAGTTCCAGCAAAAATAACAGACATTCCAGTATTTCATAAAGTAGTAGATAAAGAACATACTTCCATGGGACATCTCCAACACTTCTCCAATTTTCATATCTGTCCTTGTAGAACAGTGAGAACTCGGACCCGGATTGGAACAACCGTAACCCGGATACGGATTGTCTACCTGCATAAACAATCAACAAAATTCAATTCACGATCTATTATTATGACACAACAAAAGATTCTAACTAGCTCCTCTAGAGATGCATATATTATAGAGTTGGTATGTCTACTTACCAAACATGTCTTCCAGTTGAAGTGCCAGACTTGAGTAACTGCCATGATCAAGTATACAAACTTTTCTTCCAACAATAATACCATCCATGTTAACCTTAACATAGGCCCACCTCTCTTTGCTTTGGATTCCCTCCCCATCTTCCTCACAATCTTCTTGAAAATTGTTTCTTTGTTGTATAATGTTTGAACTTTTCAAGTTTAGGTTAGATTGGGGCCAATCTATTAGGTCATCATATCCCTCCAAGCTCACCACTATTCATTCAAGCACAAACATTGGTCAGCAAATGATGTTACAAAAAAAAAAAAAATCTAAAAATTTTAGCATTGCTATGTTATTGCCAGTCAATTTTTAACCAATCACATATTTATGTGCACATTTTACAACACATGATCTACACAAAGTTTTACTTGGTAAGTTTTTAACAATCAAATTTAGCGTTTTTCTATAAATTTCGCTTAAAAACCCTCAAAAAGCTTTATGCTAACAAACCGATTGTTATTAGGACGAATTAAGTTCCTATGAGATCAACCCTTCAATATTTAAACCTCTCACCTCTTTCACAATGGTTGAATTAGCTTTATACCGTAATATTTTTCATTTTTTTCCTCTCCTTTTATCTTTATTTTTTCAGTTGCTTGAAACGGAAGCAAATAATATTTTCATTCCTGTTCTGGGTCAGGCGCACTAGTCAATGCCAGGGCGTTCCCTTCTTCCTCCATAGAAGGCTATCTATTTATCCCCTCCACAATACTAACCAATTAAAGAAAGAAGAAAAAATTAAGAACAAATGATAAGTAAGGAACATACAATGTCCCGACGGATGATAAACTTCGGGTTGCAAAGTTCGCAGGCTAAGACCGAGATCGATCACACCATCATGTTCCTCCTTGGCTTGATAATAAACTGACTGGACAGTTGAAGGGTTCAAAAGAAAGCTTGAAGAGTTAGAATCCATAAAGCTATATTTCAAATACAATAGTACTATAGCACAACTAAGTGATCAAATGGCAAATGTAATAGTACTATTGAGGGCATAGAAGAGAAGCATTAGTTGAGACATCTATTTATGTAATTCCTCCTGAGGAGAGGTAGTACAATTTGTGGGGCCATGTTATTTAACATGGAAGACATAGAAAGCCATCTCCCACAACTAATCATTCAATGTTGCTTATCCTCTTCTGCTACATGGAACATGGCAAGTACGTACACAAAGTATGCAACAATACGCACAAGAACAAGGGATGGCCATGGTGATCTTGGCAGGAGTTGGTTTAGATTCTGCAGCCCTGAATCGCTACAAAATGTCCGACTTTTCAGATCAGAATCCAATGGTGACCAGAATAATAAGGCATATAACAAAGCGATAATAAGAAGGGTTGTGAGCTAGCTAGCTACTTCCACTGTATCCAAGTTACAACAGCTCGCATAAATCTGTACGCAATTTTGCAAAAAAGATTATGGATAGATAAATCTATGACTAGAACAGCTATGTGTAGGAGCTCATGCGCGGTGATATATTGGCACTAATTTTGTGCACATATCTAGGAGTAATGGCAGTTTTAGCAAACATATAGGGCCCGTTTATTTTACGCGTTTGAATCTATAATTTTGATTCTTTTACAGTATTTTTCTCTCACAAAAAATTTAAATAAAGAATTTCCGTCAATTATTTTCTCACAAAATTTTAATTAAGAATTAAAACCACTGACTTAAACACGTAAACTAAATAGGCTAATAGCAAGCTTTATGTAGAAGTAACAATAAGATAACTTTAGTAAATATTTCTAAGATAGCATCCACAAATGTATTTCCCCTGATTACTCGTGAAAGATCAATCTCTTTGGGATAATTTTTTCTTGCACATTTTTTCCTCGAACATCCAGACACATATACTTCGATATTTTCACAAATATACTTATGATAGATTGGATTTAAATCACCTATCTAATTTTTGGTATCTTGAATGGGGTCCAACCAAGCAAATTATGTTATGTCATTTAATGGAATCAAACATTAAAACATAAAAAAAAAAATTTTAAATTTAAAATTACATTACATAATGTGATTGGTTAGACATCATTTAAAACATTAAAATTGAACACATATGAGTCCTGAACACGCAAAATATTGAATAATATTGCTAGTGCATATGAGAATACATTTAAAACTAAAAAAAATATTTTGAGAAGGGGTGGAATTCAGTTGTACCACATGCTGTATCAGATGTTTAGTGTGTTTTTTTTTCCTTTGTTAAATAATTTAGTGAATTAAGTTGTTATTTACCAACATGGTTAACGTTTTTGAAATTATAACCATGCTTCATAACAAATTATATTCTTATAGTATTAACACCATTAATTAGAATTTTCGTAAATCCGGATCCTCAATTTTTTTTATCAACACCGACATTTTCACGGTTGAGCTTTACAACCCATCTGGAGGGAAAGTTTTGAAGCTTATAAACTCCAAAAACAAATCATGGGGACAACAAAATATTGCCTTGTATAATCAAAGATTTATGATTTTCATGGGTTTTTTTTTAATGAAGAAAATTGCTCATAATGTCTACAACGTCCAAAGAATTTAGTGATATATACGTTTCATTGCGAGAGTGACCAAAAGCTAGCAATATATTTACTTTTTTTTTAATGTCATTTATTTATTTATTTTTTATACACTAAGCCGGAATTGAACCCGCAAATCCCCATCCAAACTCCCAATACCACTGGACCAAGAGGTCTTAAGCAATGTCATTTATTTCTTATCCCTCTACTTTTTGGTGCAAAAGCCTTCTAGATCTGATGAATGTCTGAATGTCAGTTTGCCTTCTCATTAGTGGAACAACAATCTGAATAACCATCTGGGCCACAACCCTACATCCCATTCCACCCTGCCTTTTCCTTCATTTAATTTGTTAACGTGTCTTTTAAAATTTTGTGGTAGCTACCTGACAATTTCCATTCCTCGCACTTTGGAATTGACCAAATCAACAACAATCCATCTACAAACGTCAAAACCAACGGTGGAAATTTCGACTAAAAGCGATGAACTCGAATTATATAGACAATTAAATTCTCCAGCCACAAATGTTTTAACAATGGATCTCGATTTTCTAGTTTTTTCTTTTAGTTTAAGATCAGTTAGGAAAGAATCACTTTCTTTTTGGATTGAAACTTAAAAATAGCAACGGTGTCTTTTTTATTTGAAAAACGTGAATTTTGATAAATATTTGGTGAAAAAAGCCCTCACAATACAAACTTCATTTATTCTTATCACCCGGGGGTCTGATCATTGATGATATTTCTCATTGATTGGTTTGCTGCCAACCATACCACAGTAGGTAGAGACCAATTAAGGACCGACTAGGTTGACGAGGCTAGTGAGGCGACATTCTCATGAGCTCAGGTTGCCGAGGCAACACTGAGGCCAAATCCGGTGATGGCCTTTTGATTGGTGTAGATAGAGACCACTCAAGGACCTACTAGGTTGGTGAGGTTAAATTGAGTTTTGTTACAGTAAAAAATTCTCAGAAATAATCACATTTAATTTTTTTAATACAATAAAAAATTATCATATAAAGTCACATCTCAACTCAAATTAAAAATTCAAATTAACGAACTAAACGGACTCATTATTATTCCAAAGCCACAATCACACGGGCATGACTTTCCGTCTTGTACCATTCCACAATCCATTGGAAATACCCGTCTCTGTTCTTTCCAACTAGCAACATGATAACCCAAAAAGGCATAAGCGTTCTCGTAATGCATTAAACATACTAGGCTAAAATTAGAACTTCAAATTAGAACTTCAAATTAGAACTTCAGGCGATTGACAAGCAGAAATAGAAGCAACACTCCCCGTCCCAATTTTGGGATAAAGAACATAAATTTGCGCTAACAATTCCATAGAACGACATTTCAGCCATCTTGGTAATAAGCACTAGGTCATTTTTTAATCAAATGCTACCTATTAAATTGATCCAAACTGAGATGCCTCAAATTGGAAAGGTTCAAACTATGAAGCCATTAACTTTTGAAAGTAACAAATGACCCCTTTCAATAACATCACAAAAAAAAATTGCGTCATCCTTTCCTTGTCTGTCTGACATTACCCTCTGTATCCATATTTCCTCAACACTGATTTACTCTGATATGCAAAATTTTCTGACATTTTAGTTTCGGCTCAGCATTTTAGAATGGCCAGCCGTTTTTTTTAAAGGGTCCAGAGGGCTATGTACCAGTTAAGAAATCAAGTTTGCTGTGGTCACGATCTGTAGGCAATGAAGTTTTGTCTTGCGAATCAATGAATTAGGTTGAGTCATGGCGACTAAGAAATTCGACTATACAGGGATAAACCTGCTCCACTGCCTACAAATCAAAAGTAATGCATGAAACAAGCTGAAAGTTGAATAAAATAATCAGCAGAAAACATTATGCTAAATGCACACATTTACATGAAATGAAGTTCAACTATCAGGCATCGACTCATGCCTTAATTTCATAAAGGGCTACCGCCTATCTACGTTAGAAGAATTTCTAAAACTTGGAGTTATAATGGTCACTAAGTTAACGAGATAACCACCTAGAAAGTGTGCTCAGGTCATTACTATCAAATATGGCAAAAGACGAAGTTAAATAAAGTGCATCTCATTATGCTAGTTCATTATAAGCTAAAAGCAGAAAGAATCGTCTCATACCAATCGTCCTCCCACCAAATCATAATGAGCATAGTGTGGCCCACCGGGTTTTCCAAATACTTTATAGGTAACAAGGTGCTCAGGAATCAACTTCACAGTTTCTGGTACATGTCAAATTGTCAATTGTGATAAGAGATAACAAGCACATGTATTACATGAAAATATTACATGTATAAAGATAAAAGCACAATAAGATATACCCTCTACAGCTTCAGGTGGGCATATTAGATCGAGGTCTCCCGCTATTGCCAGCACAGGGACATTGGTTTTATTGAGATGATCTCTGTAAAAGAATGTACAATCCCTGTTGCATAGTCCACCCTCTTTAAATGCTGTTGTTAGCTGCAGAATAAGCTTTGCTGGTATTGTACCTATCATTGTAATTGGATAGCTTTTCTATCAGTAAGTACCAGTGTGAAAAAGTTAAGAGACAAGCAAGTGACTCTCACTCTCACAGTGGACAATTTCCAAACTCTGCATGTCTCTGCGTGTGCAAACACTACCAACACTTTCCATAAACTAACAAAGTTCACCTTCTTTTATGTGTTCTTGGCAGCCTTCCGAGAAATTTTAGTGTATAGATTCACAAGAAAAAAAATAATTATGAAAAAAGAAGTAGAAGAATACACATCAGTTCTTCCCACCTATAAAGCACATAATAGGACCAGTGCACTCATTCGAAATATGTTTATTATATTTAATTCTTTTATGCTTACTACTTTTTAAAGGACATTTAGTTGATGGATTCAGAACCATTCTCGATTTACGCATGTTTTTTGTGAGAGAAAATACTGTAGCGAGCCACGAACCATGATTCGAACCATGGCACGAATCCTTGAACCAAACGCATTCTTATTGTTTTGGGCCAATAAACACTCTAGAGAAATGATGAGTGAGTTTTACTCGCTCATTTAGTATCGTTTTACACTTAATATCTAGGTGGTTTTGAGGTTTTTGTTAGTTTTTATGTGTGTTTTTGTTCTTTGTTTGAAGGTTAGGTGAAAGTCTATGATTTGGAAGGTTTTGGACAACTTTTGGTAGAAAAAGACAACAAACATAGCACTTAGGCGCAAATTTATAGCGTTTTAGCGCTAAGTTTTACGAAACCAATACAGTTGGCAGAATGACCAGTGTTTTGGCGCCCATTACAGCGCCGCAGCACCTAAAAACTGGGCTGATTTTGCACAGCCAGCGCCGCAGCGCTAGGAGCTCAACGCCGCGGCGCTACGACGCGAGAAAAGACGCGTTTTGAAGGCAAATCGTGAGAGAACTTACCCGTTTTGACCCTAATGCTTCAAAACCTATAAATAGATGATTCTAGGGCAATTAAAGGGGACTTTTTGGACTGGAGAGTGACGGCTGACTTTTGGGAGAAGATTCAAGAGAAGAAAAGGAGAATTGGGTATAGAGAAGAATAACGGCTCAAATCCGGAGACGGAGACGCTTTAATTTAACTTCAAACTAGTTCTTTTCTTTCCTTTTCAATGATTAAGACTTTGTTTAGGAGTTTATTTTGTTTAGAGATGAACTAATTCCTTTTTCTAGGGCTACGATGTAGCCGGATTATGAATATTCAGATTCGCAATCTTATTTTTAAGTAATTGATGTTTAATTCATATATGCTGAGTATTTCAATTTATTCTTAATGCTTATGATTGTTTGGCCAACTATTACATGATTTTGTATTTGATTTGAGACTGAGAGGTGATAATTAAATAAGCTCTTAATTGAAATACCATAAGTTGTTTATAGGATAGAGATATCTATGATGCTTGTACAGTTCTTTTGAATTTCTTGCACTTAATGATTTTCAACAGGTTTAGAAATCTGACAGAGATGTAGAGTTTGCTTGTTAAATTAAAATTATTGTTGCTTGAGAAAGAATAATAATTGCTTTAGAGAAATTACTGTCAGTATAGGATTGAATGTTAATTTTCTTGAATTATGAGAATTTGAACATGATTAATTTTGGTAAAATCGGAAACCCTAGAGTCTTAATCTATTGAATTTCATTCCACTAATTGGCATTGTTTTATTTATTTAATTGTTTTAGTTTTTACTTTATTTTTTATAAAATCTCTTTTCGATTATTCAATTAAAATTGGAGTTAATATAATTTCGGTAATTAGTAAACAACAATCCTCGTGAGACGATATTCTTATTCACTATTATATTACTTGATTGCGATAGCGTATACTTGCGTTACGATTTTTCATAACAAGTTTTTGCCGCCGTTGCCGGGGATTGTTTTGTTTTTACTAATATCGATACCAAATAACTTTAGTTTTACTTTGAATTTTATTTTGTTATTTATTTTCTTGTTATTGTTTTGTGCTCTACAGGAATTTACTCTACGTGCATGTGAAAGTTTGGGAGCAGTATTGTACTTCCTCTTGATTCAGAAATTAAGCATACTTGTCGAAGAAATAGAAAAGAGAAGAGAGAAACTGTCATTCAGTCGGAAGAAACTATGGCTGATCCTGAAAGGGCAATAAATGAGAACAACAACAACAACATACCGCTGAACAATCCACCGGTGGTCAATCAACCAATGGCTTTGCGAGATTATACATTGCCACCAACCAGTGTTCAATCAGTGATCAGGAGGCCTGCTATTCAGGCGAACAATTTTGAATTGAAGCCGGTGATGTTGCAGATGATTCAAACGATCCAATTTAATGGATTGCCGAATGAAGATCCTAATGCTCACATCGTAAATTTTCTGAAGATTTGTGATACTGTCAAATACAATGGAGTTAATGATGAAACTCTTCGCCTTCAGTTGTTTCCTTTCTCTTTGAGAGATAAAGCAAAAAGTTGGTTGAATTCACTGCCGCCAAATTCGATCACTAGTTGGGAAGACTTAGTTCAGAAGTTCCTTTCTAAGTTTTTCCCACCGACTAAAACAGCGAAAATGCGCATCGAGATCAACAATTTTGCTCAATATGAAGGTGAAACTCTATATGAAGCATGAGAGAAATACAAGAAGTTACTGAGAAGATGTCTTCATCATGGTCTTCCTAAATGGATGCAAGTCCATAATTTCTACAATGGGTTGAGTGGCACTACAAGAACTCTAATCGATGCATCTGCAGGAGGAGCATTAATGAAAAAAAATGAAGATGAAGCATATGAGTTGCTAGAAGATATGGCAACCAATAATTACCAGTGGCCTACTGAAAGAAGCATACCAAAGAAGACGGCCGGAGTACATGAGATAGATGCCATCACTAAACTCACAGCCCAAATTGCTTCTCTTTCCAAACAATTGCAAAATAATCATCTGACAGCTAATGCCATCCAAGCATCATCTCCAGTTTGTGAATTTTGTAATGGGCCTCATGCACAGGTACAAATGGAGCAGGCTCAATATGTGGGAAATTTTAATAGACAACAGAACAATCCTTACTCCAATAGGTTTAATCAAGGATGGCGTAATCACTCAAACTTGTCTTGGAGAAACACTCAAAATCTGTTGCAGCCCGAACAGAGTAACCCACCACAAGAGGAGAAGGTGAATCTGGAAGATGCAATGGCTCAATTGGCTACTTCTCACACACAATTTATGAATGAAACCAGGACAAATTTTCAGAATCAATCTGCTCAGATCAGAAGCTTGGAGGTGTAAATCAGTCAATTAGCTAACATTCTAAATGATCGTCAACAATGTAATTTGCCAAGTACAACGGTGGTGAATCCAATAGAGCAATGCAAGGCCATTACTTTGAGAAGCGGGAAAGAATTAAATACACTCCCAGAGCCTAAGAAGTCTAGCAAAAGTAGTGAAGATGCTTCGTCACCCAAAGATACTCAATTTTTGAAGAAGAGTGGTGAAATTCCTACAGCTCAACAACCTTTGCCGGTGGAGCCATCACGAAGGATCCCGTTTCCTCAACGCCTTCGGAAGAGTAAGCTTGATAAACAATTTTCAAAGTTTCTGGACATCTTTAAGAAATTGCACATAAACATCCCATTCGCCGAAGCTCTTGAACAAATGCCGAGCTATGTGAAGTTTATGAAAGATATCCTGTCAAACAAGAGGAAACTTGAGGATTATGAAATAGTTGCACTTACTGAAGAGTGCAATGCCATCTTGCAAAGGAAGTTGCCTCAGAAGCTCAAACATCCAGGGAGTTTTACCATCCCTTGTTCTATTGGAAATTCTATTTTTGAAAAGGCACTATGCGATTTAGGTGCAAGCATTAACTTAATGCCTTTGTCAATTTTCAATAAACTTAGGCTAGGAGAAGCAAGACCAACTACGGTCTCATTACAATTGGCCGATCGCTCCATCAAACATCCGAGAGGAATTATTGAAGATGTACTCGTCAAAGTTGATAAGTTTATATTTCCGGCCGATTTTATTGTCTTGGATATAGAAGAAGACGAGGAAATCCCCATTATACTTGAGAGACCATTTTTGGCAACCGGTCGGGCTCTCACTGATGTGCAAAAGGGTGAACTTCGCCTAAGAGTACAAGAGGAGGAGGTAATTTTTAATGTATTTAATGCTCCCAAATACCCGCAAGCGAGTGATAGTTGTTTTCGAATTGAAACAATTAACACCTTGATCACTGAGCATCTTGGCCAACCTCAAGAGCCTTTGGAAGCTTGTCTAATTTATCCGGAAACTATTGCAATAGAAGATCATGAAGCTATAGAGTTTGTGCACTGGATGGATTCTTTCGGACCTAACAATCGGAGGTACTTTGAAGCTTTGGGACGAGGCCCATCACGCCCTCTTCCATCAGTTGAGAAACCACAGACACTTAATAAGATGGATGCGTTCCGTAATAATGCATATGAGAAAGGCAAGATTTACAAGGAGCGAACTACGGCTTGGCATGACAAGCACATCTCAAGAAAGGAGTTCAAGCCGGGCCAACAAGTACTGCTCTATAATTCAAGGCTGCATTTATTTCTGGGAAAGCTCAAGTCCAGATGGTCAGGGCCATTTACCGTGGTGAGAATATTTACCTATGGAGCAGTTGAAGTCACTCATGATGCAAAGGGAACGTTCAAGGTCAACGAACAACGTTTGAAGCCATATATTAATGGTGGCTTTGATCAAAAGAAGACCAACATTCACCTAAACTCACATAAGAAGCAAGACGTCGGGCTGATGACGTTAAAACAAGCGCTTCTCAGGAGGCAACCCGAACCTTCTAAAATCTTTTATTTATTTTTATTATTATTTTGATATTTTTTATTTTATTTTTAGTTTACTTATTGTGTTTTAAATTGATTGATAGGTTAAGAAACAAGTTTGGGGGTTGCTCTAAGGATTTGCAATTGAAATGAAGCTCAAGCAGGCATGAAAGCACAGATTTGGCAGCAGTAGTGGCGTTTTGGTGCCCATTTGAGCGCTTTG